TTTTACTCATCTGCTAAATGATCACTTTGGATTCCATTAGGTCTCATCCAACTGAAACTATCACTGGTCCTCCAGTGTTTCTTGTTGTAGGGACAAAAAGGACAGGAAGACGGGGCAGAGTGCACTACAGTGGTTCATTCTGTCTCTTTCATTCTCAAAAGGGGTAAAAAGGGCATCCTGTGCTCTGGGCTTCAAGGCATCTGCAATTGCTGTGCTCTTTTTGGACTTAATCTGTCACAGCTGCCTGTAAACTGCAACTGAGTGGTGGGTGAGGGGGGCTGTGTGAATGAGTTCCATCAGCGATCAATTTACTATCCTCCAGCTATTCAAGATTGCACCTCATTTACTCAAAGAATGAACTGTTGCAAGACAAAAATCTCTGCTGACATGACTGAAGTAGGTCATGTTTTTACTGTAACTTGAGCAGCAGGTATTGTTGGGCTTCCAGGCACCACAAACTTGTGTTAAAGGCGAGGGTATGGAAGATATATGGGACTTAGTTAAATTATTTCTAGCTCCCATGGGTACCTGATTAGGATAGAGACTCCTGATATGGACCAAATAAAAGTTAGTGAATTATATTTGGATGAATCCTAAACATTACAAGTAAATGCTATCATATTATGCAAATCAAGGAAGTTATTTCATTTTATTTTGCTCAAGACTGGCGACAGTATGCCACAATATTAAGCACAGTGCTAAGTGTACAAGAATATAGATTGAATGGATGAAAAACAAACGTTTTTTCAGTGCTAAGCAAGGAATTTTGTATACAAACTTTCTGGTTATTTATTACGTATTAACGAGCACCCCAAAACTTAATGGCTTAAAACACCATTATCTCTTGAGGTTGTGGATGGAGTGAATTCTGCTGGATGGTTCATTTGGTAGAGTCTGGTCATCTGGCAACTTGTCCAGATGGGAATGTCTGAAATGGCTCAAATACAGTACTCGCTGTTGGATCTCCAAAAGCACATTTAGGGCTATCAACCAGGATGTTTCTGTTCTTGGACTATCTTCCCCATGTACTTTGGATTTCCAATGGCGTAATGTATACATTACTAATGTAAGGGTTATGGAAGTTGTCAATTATCCTACTCTTGGCCTTCTGTAACATTTTATGGGTCAAAGGCTGTAAGATGTCATCTCAGATGTAAAAGGAAGAGAAATAAACTATATCTCTTGATGTAAAGAATGACATGTGCATATAAGGAGGGGAATGACAGTTGGGAACATCTATAGAGACTTAATCAAATCTTTTATTACCTGAGCTATTTTCTTTCATTTGAATACGGTACTAGATTTAAAGGTACAAGACATATAACCACTAGAATGACATAAATTAAGGAGAATGACAGTAACAAGTATTGATAAATTGGTGGAGTAATTGGAATTTTTATGCATGCTGATGAGAATATTAAATGGCACAATCTCCTTAGAAAACTGACAGGTGCTTAGAAATTCAAATGAAAAAGACCTCTAATCTATAGTGACACAAAGCCAACCAGTGGTGCTTGGAGTCATGTGTGGGTGGAGTGAAGTGATTGACAAGGAATATCATAAGGGGATCTTTGAAATGAAAAATACCTTTCTTTGATTATTCTGGTGACGTATGTATCGATTTATTAAGACTCATCAAACTGCACACCTAAAATTGGTTCATTTTATTGCATGCAAATTATAACTCAATAAAATTGATCTTCAAAATAAGATGCTAGATCTGCTCTGGGTGTCCTCAGTTTTCAATGTCACCCATGGATTTGAGGCAGGGCAGATCATCTTTGTCCTGAGTCAATCTTCATATCACCTGAGTTCTTCAAATTTACCTGACACTTCACTGCTTCTTTTAGTGGTCACATCTCCTACTCTTGTGCTATCCTGACTTTTTATATTCTGTATATGACTCCACTTACTTTATTTCTCCAAAGCAATGGTACCTGAGTTACTGTGTATAGTAGGCATTTTTTTTAAGGGTTTCAGTGCCGCCGGGGTTTGGGTGGCAACAAATATATCGAAACACAACATGACTGATATCTAAATATTGGGCACTACTTTTCTGAAATATCTTTCCTAGGCTACTATAGAAAATTATCATCAGCTAAAATTTACCCAGACTGCACCTGCAGACATGATCTATGGGACCTTCAAACTTCTGCCAAATCATGCCCATAAATGTCCCCTATCATTCTTCAGGTCACCTTAAGCATCACACATTTAGATATGCTCATTGAAGTGTTAATATTTTCCCTCTTTGAGGAAGTATTTCTCCTAAAAAGGAATTATGATTTATTATTAAATGAAATTATTCTCAGATTCAAATTAAAGTCCTTTGAGTCCCTCCTTCCCATATTATTTTTTTATCCATAAAAAAAAATCTTAGTCTGCAGAAAACTCACAGTACAGAAGAAATGACAGTGGCAA